CCTGGATAATTTTATTGCACCACTAAGAGGGGAGTCTCGCATTCAAGAAGGCTTCAGAAACGACCGCTTTTGTCCTTTCAGAGCAAATTATGCCAGGCGATTATGCGCATATTCACCCCCAGGAAAATAAGGTAGTCCATTCATTGTAAATTTTTGATTCTAGCTTATTTTTGAATTAATATTATTATATGAATCAAACTTAGATAAGCGTGCTCAGTGGTCAAAACAGTTTGGGGAACAAAATCAAAGGGTTCAAATTAAAGCAGGAAAATGCTCGTGGGGAAGCCCTGTTCTCCAGGGGGGCGGCCTGGATCTCATGGGGTAAAGGTTAGTTGTGGAGAAGCCCTGGACCTCCAGGGGGGCTATGTGCAGGCTTGGGGCGGCTGGATCTCCATGGGGGTTAGGTTTGGTGTTGGACGAAGCCCTGACTCCAGGGGGGCCTATGTGCAGGTCGTATGGGCGGCGGGCCTGGATCTCCATGGGGTTAGGGTTAGGATGTGGGGGGCCTGGACCCTAACTAACCCAGCTCTGGACCTGACTGAGGCTGTAAGACCAGGGCTGAGGTTTGTAAGACCCAGGACATGAGGCTTTAGACCAAGGATTGAGGCTGTGGACCAGGATGAAGCTTGGACCAGGGACTTGAGGCTTTAGACCCCAGGCTGAGGTTGTAGACCCAGGACTGAAGGTTTTTAGACCCAGGGCTGAGGGCTGTAGACCCAGGACTGAGGTATAGACCAGGACTAAAGCTCTGACCAGGACTGAGGTTTTAGAACCCAGGGTGAGGCTGTAAACCCAGGACTTGAGGCTATAGACCGGGCAGAGTCTGTAGACCCAGGACTGAGGCTATAGACCAGGCTGGTCTTGTAAGATCCAGACTTGTGCCTGTTTAGACCCAGGATGCGGCTGTTAGACCCAGGAAGAGGCTGTAGACCCAGGGACTGAGGCTGTCGACCCAGGACTAAGCTCTGGACCCAGGATGAGGTTGTAGAACCCAGTGACCTGAGGTTTTAGACCAGGTCTGAGGCTGAAGACCCAGGACTGAGGCTGTAGGACCCAGGAACTGGAGGGCTTAGACCGAGGACCTGAGGGCTCTAGACCCAGGATCTGAGGCTCTAGGACCAGGGACTGAGGCTTTTAGACCAGGGATGAGGCTGTGGACACCAGGAACTGAAGCTCTCGACCCAGGACTGAGGATGTAGACCCAGGACTGAGGCGTAGACCCAGGACTGAGCTGTAGCCCAGGACGTGCTCTAGACCCAGGGACCTGAGGCTGTAGACCCAGGACTGAGGTGTAGACCCAGGACTTGAGGCTGTAGTCCCGGACTGTGGCTGTTTAGACCCCAGGGGACTGAGGCTGTGACCAGTCTGGGTCTACAAAGACAGAGGCTTGTAGAACAAGGGACTAGGATATAGAACCAGGACGAGGGCTATGAGCCCAGGACTGAGGCATCTATGATACCTGGACCTGAGGCTGTAGACCCAGGACTGAGCTGTAGACCCAGGACTGAGGCTGTATCCCAGGACTGCAGCCTTGTAGAACCAGGACTGAGGGCTCTAGACCCAGGACTGAGTGCTTGTAGATCCAGGATCTGAGGCTGTAGACCCAGGACTGAGGCTGTAGACCAGGACTGAGGTTGTAGACCCAGGACTGGGCTGTAGACCAAGGACTGAGGCTGTAGACCAGGAACTGGAGGCTATAGACCCAGGACTGAGGCTGTAGACCCAGGACTGAGGCTATAGACCCAGGACTGAGGCTGTAGACCCAGGACTGATGCTGTAGACCCAGGACTAACGGCTGTAGACCCAGGACTGAGGCTGTAGACCCAGGGCTGAGGTTTTAGACCCAGGATGGGAGGCTTTAGACCCATGTATTGAGGCTGTGGACCAGAGGACTGAAGCTTCTGGACCCAGGAATGAGGCTGGTAGACCCAGGACTGAGGGCTGTATCCCAAGGACTGAGGCTTATAGACCCAGGACTGAGGCTGTAGACCCAGGACTGAGGCTGTAGACCATGGACTGGAACGGAAGTGGCGAAAGTCCAATTTCCAGGGCGATTATGAAATCTTTAAAGATGAGTTGGGTGAATTTAACCGGGTTCTACGAAGAACAAGAGAAATGTATTTTTCTGACATTATTGGAGGTTGCAGTAACAATTTTCGTGTTATGTTTTCAACAGACGTTGGTAGATTAACGAACCCCCCTGTAAAGTTGCCCCTAGAATTTTCCTCTAAATCTAGGTGTAATGAGTTCGCACAGTTTTTCGATGACAAAGTACAAGGAATCAAAAACACTATCACCTCCACAGCACGTATAACAATGCAACAGCCAGAGAAGCTTTTTGAGCTAACTCACTTTGCACCTGTGGATACTGAAACTGTCAAAAAGATAATCATGAGTCTGAGCTCCTCCACATGTAGCCTGGATATATTGCCCTCTAAATTTCTGAAGTCCGTCCTGAGCAGTTTGTTACCTTCACTGACACAAATAGTAAACATGTCTCTGTCGTCAGGAACATTTCCTATGGCCCTAAAAAACAGCAGTCATAAGACCTCTCCTAAAAAAGAGCAGTCTGGATCCTGCGGGACTTCAAAATTATCGCCCCATATCGAATCTGCCATTCATTGGAAAAATTCTTGAAAAAGTGGCCTCCCAACAACTTACTGAATTTTTAACAATGAATAATTCTTTTGATATGTTCCAGTCTGGGTTTAGACCCCACCACAGCACTGAGACCGCTCTAGTGAAGGTAACAAACGACATTCGACTTCACACTGATGCAGGTAAAGTCACAGTTTTGGTCATGTTAGATCTTAGTGCCGCGTTCGACACTGTCGACCATGAGATCCTCATGCAGAGACTGGAGGACTGGGTTGGTGTCACTGGCACAGCCCTAGACTGGTTTAGGTCTTACCTGGAGGATAGGAAGTACTTTGTGGAGATTGGAGACTGCGTCTCAGATCATGTGGCCCTGACCTGTGGAGTACCACAGGGGTCGATCCTGGGACCTCTCCTATTTAATCTCTACATGCTGCCGTTAGGTCAGTTAATACAAAGAAACAAAGTGTCCTACCACAATTACGCCGACGACACTCAGATCTATGTCTCACTGACTGCAGGAGAACATGGACCACTGGATTTGCTCCTTCACTGTATCCAACAGATCAGTGAGTGGATGCAAAATAATTTCCTCCAGCTAAATGCAGACAAAACCGAAATCATTGTCTTTGGTCCCCAGAAACAAAGAGAGGGCGTCATCTGTCAACTTCAGTCTCTCTCCCTACTTCCTTCAGACAAGGTCAGAAATTTGGGGGTAATACTGGACTCAGACCTAAATTTCAATAGCCACATAAAATCAATAACATCAACAGCTTTTTACCATCTGAAGAACATTGCCAAAGTCAGAAATATAGTGTCCAGGGCAGACTTGGAGATTCTTGTCCACGCATTTGTCTCCAGCAGGCTAGACTACTGCAATGGCCTGCTTACAGGTCTGTCCAAACAGACCTGTAAGCAGCTGCAGTACATCCAAAATGCAGCAGCTAGAGTCCTGACAGGAACCAGGAAGTATGACCATATTAGTCCGGTCCTCAGGTCTCTGCACTGGCTTCCTGTGGCTCAAAGAATAGATTTTAAAACAGCTCTGCTTGTGTACAAGTCTCTCCATGGCCTTGCACCAGAATACATTAGTGACATGTTGGTGTCATATGAACCAGCCCGGACTCTGAGGAGCACAGGGACTGGCCTCCTGCTGGTGCCCAGAGTGAGAACCAAACATGGGGAGGCTGCGTTTCAGATCTATGCAGCTAAGATCTGGAACAATCTCCCTGAAAATGTGAGGGAGGCGTCTACTCTGTCAATGTTCAAATCCAGGTTAAAGACTGTTCTGTTTGCCTGTGCATACAACTGAAGGATTTTATCTCCATTTGTAATGCACTGCTGTCATTTATTTATTTTTTTTTTTTTAATTTCTTGTGTAACTTTGAAAGTGTTAATGGTTTTATTCTTTTGTGTGATTTTATTGTTTTTATTGTGTTTTAATCTTTTGTGTGATTTTAATGTTTTAATTGTGATTCTGGTGTTTGTTTTATGTGATGATTTGTGATGTGGACTGTGAAGCGCTTTGTGTTGCCCTGTGCATGAAAGGCGCTCTACAAATAAACTTTGATTGATTGATTGATACTCGTCCAGCACCTCCTGGACATCGCGAGCCGACCACTTATCGATAGTCTTAGACCGGAATGTGTAAGAAAGTTCTTTGTTCGGACAGTGTCTTATGAATAAGCGGGTGACGTCCCCCCCAGGAATATCGGAGGATTTCCCAAGCCCTGCAAGGCAGCTAGCGGCGGTGTCCGCAGCATTGTTTAACCGTAACCAAAAATCATATGGACCCTCGTTAGCTGTGGGACGGATGGAGTAGAAATCAGCGAGGGGGACCGAGGAGTACAGGCCGGCGCCAAAATGTTTACGCAAAAGACCGTAAATAGCTTCGGGCCCTTGTGTGGAATCCAGACCTCCATTTTTAAGTCCTAATTTCACGACATTTCTAGCCTTGCCCTTTAAATAGACAAGGACTTCCTCCGTACTACACTCGAAGGGAACATTACTTTTGCGGAGATAAACCTTCATCAAGTCCTCCCATTCATCGACGGCAAACACATCTGAACCATCCCCTCTAAACACCGGGGGCTCTTTGGCACCCTTTTCGATAAATGTGACATTTGAAAGGTTCAAACTACGACTGTTCATGGAACCATTGGCTTGTGGAGACGAATCAGGAGCCCTGGGAGACTCGCCGGAAGAGCTGGATGAATTCAACCTAGAAACAATATTATCAGCTAACATGTGACCCATCTGTTGCATCATGTCGCTCATCTGGTTCATACCCCCCACAGTTTCATCATCAACCACATGTCCCGTACTGCACTTAGGCAGACCAAAACACACATTGTTCATATTACGAGGCGTAGCTCTGCCTCGGGCAACACTACTACCCACACCACTCAAAGGAAACGGGAGAGGGGACACCAAACCCCCGCGCCCTCTGCCGACCATGGCAGGCGTGCGCAGCTCCTCCGGATCCATCCCCGCGGCGTGAAGTAGACGCTGGCGTAGGTGATGCAATTTTCAGCCCCGTTGGTTCGAGCGCCGACAGCCCCACGTGTGGCGATGGCGACTCCCAGCGGCGAGGCGACGGTGGTACAGGCGAACGTCCTGGAACCCGAGTAGCATGCACCGTGGACCCGACGTCGTCTGGTCCGGTCCTAAACGGATGTCACGGCACCAATGTGACCTGTGCTATAGCGACCCTGCGTTGTGTACGGTGCTCTGAACCCAGAGAAGAGACTTGGCTGCAATTGGGATTGGCAACGCCGAAACCCTTTTATTTCCTGGCGAAGGAATATAAAATAAATGGCGTTAGCCCAAACATGTGTGTGCCCAACACGGCCTTTCTCTTAGACATCAGGGGAAAGAGAAAGGAGGAAGAGGCGGAGCCTAACTTAAATACCGGCAAACCGGAAGTGACAAGTGTTGGGCCAGACGACCAAAATAAAAGACATACATGAGCTAACATACACTGCCAGGTACGTACTAACACAATTGCACCGATCCTATTATCAGGATTTTAACCAACCTTTGACACCTGTTACAGACGCATACGTGTAGTTGGAAAACCAGATCTGGCCATTTTTGAGGGAAAAATGGAACATTTTGAGAGTGGTGATTTTTTCTTCAGCCGATTAGTGACTTTTTGGTAGAACTTTGTGGTAGCCTGCATAATAAGACGACAACAATTTTTCTAAAATAATAATTGAAATTTAGATATAACGGCCTAAAGTCTGAGTGTGTGCGTGCGTGCCCGTTTGAGGTGCATCCCTTGTGTCCCCTTCTGCCTTTCCCCCTCTTCCCCCTCCCCCCTTTCTGCTGCTCCCTGTTTTCCCTCTTCCCCTCATCCCCCTTGCTCCCTTGCTCCCAATTCTGTCCCTCCAGTCTGCTCAACTCTAGTTGGGTGGAGTGGTAAGTTTGTTATAGTTTAACTACTTTTGTTAATGCTAGCTACATTAACAAAAATAATTAAAAAGGGGTGGAACCAGTGATAAACATTTTACTGGTAAAAACATTTGGTAATGAGATTAGAGAATCATAGATAGATTTGAATTGACTTGAGCTGTGAAATTTTTGTGATTGGACAATTTTAAAGTTACAACATTTGGTACAAGCTCAAAAGGATTAGGCTGAAACTGAATAAGATTGATGATAGATAAGACTCAAAGTTAGCTCAGATTTTTGATTTTTGTTTGCTTATGATCACAAAAGCTGGTATTTTGTGCACACAAGTAGACTTTTATGTTTATTTTTGGGTTTGATTTGGAGTTTTTGTTTGTTTTGTGAGTAACTGTCTTCATGTGTAAGATTTAACAGACTAACATCTCCTCTTATGTGAGTAGTATTTGTTTGCTTGTTACTTCAGGTTTTGCATGTAAGTGTTTGTCTTCTATGTTTGGGACTTAACTGACTAAACTAACAGACTATAAGATGAATAGGAAAGGTGGGAAGAGAGAGCGAGAGAGGAGTCAGTTTCAGGAAGGAAAAAGAAAGGGTGATAGTAAAGATGGAAGCAATGATTTATGCTTAACATGTCACAAGAGAGGACACTGGAAGAGGGATTGTACAGAAAGTGTTGAGTATGTTAGGAGAAAGACTAACGAAGTAGCAATGGATAATTGTAATGTTAACAGCAGGTTAGAATTAACACTTGATTTTTGTGAAAAACACATGGCTTCACTCAGTTCGGGAAAGCTGAGTGATTTAAAAAACATTTTAGATGTGCAGGGAAAAATGTTGAAACAGCAAAAGAAGTTTCTAGATGCATGTATTAAGATGAGAGAATGCAAAGAAGTCATGAGTGAGTCAACACTAATGTTTTCTTCTGTTTCTGAGTCCATCACAGCCAGTCAAAGAGAGACACTTGGGGGCAGATGGTCTGGTCCTTCCCAGCCACAGCTCCATTCACAGCCAGTGCCTCACTCCACTCCAACCAGGAAGACAGGTCTGGGAGCAGAGTGCATCCAGATGGGGAGGAGGGAGCCAAGCAGTGGCAAAAAGAAGCAAGGCTGCTTTAATTGTGGTTCTTTTGACCATTGGGCACGAGAGTGTTTTAAACTTCACAGATCAATTACAAGTTCATGTGCTGTGGATGGGAACGACGAATCAGACTCCTAAAAAGGTCCTCTCTCTGACTGATGCTGACTCAGAACAATCAGATAAGAGGGAAACACTCTGAAAATAAGCAGTTTAATTTTTCAGATTTGAATAATAAATATGTTTAGTTTCATTTGAAAGGTTTAAATTCAACAGTAAGGGAAGTTACTGTAGCATGTTTAATGTTTACATCAAAGAAATGCAAATCTGTTTGATTCTGAATATAACTAGTTATACATTATTTCAATAGTTAATTGTGATGTTTTCAGTTCTGAGACAAGAAAATTACAGTAATAGGACTGTCTTCAGCAACAGTTTTCATTAACTGCTAAGGTTTTCTTTTGGGTTTACTGAACTAAGTTTGAAATGTATTAACAAATGTGTACTTTGTGTGTTTTGTTTGAGGGTAACACCTAAAACACCACTTTTGATGCTAAAAAGCTCAGAGTTCATTCCTGTGAAGGAGACGCTCACTCCCGCCCCCACCAATCATCAACCAGCAAATCAGCAGGCCAAACCAGGCCAAACCAAGCCAAACTAAGCCAAACCAGCAGGCCAAACCAAGGCTAAATGCTGCAACGACAGAAGCAATGATGCAAAGGGTCATCCAGAGGTCAGACTCAAATCAACAACTTGACTCTGTGTGTTTGGGACATTTTGCAGATTTCCAAAAAATCTGAAAGACTGGGTTGACCGAAGACATCACCTTTGTGCAAAGATCTAAGGACTGGAGGTTTCCAGTTTTTGCTGTCGGTTCTAAAGTGTGTGAACAGGACAGAGACTTCTGGACATGATGGGGCTGGACGTTGCTGAATGCAGAAGACATCGGGGTGTGGAGGCGTGTCTACAACAGGCGTTACTGGACAATAGGCTTTTTTGGTGTGGTGTTTAATTTGCTAACCAAAGTTGACACATTTCAAGTTAATACATTTCAGGTGAAAACATTCCAGTTTAATACATTTCAAATGAACGTTTAGTTTATACAGTTTGATGCTACATTAATTTACATGAGTAAATTGGGTATTTGTGTCTTTTTCATTTCATACACATAAATAATTAGGAATTATGTTCAGTTATTGAGCCATTTTTAATGTCTCAAACAGGGGGGAGATATGGTTTATAGGGGAGTAATTCTATACATATGAAATGATCTCTAAAAAACTTTTTTGAGTTCTTTTCTGTGTGTGTTTCTGTAACCAATGTGATTTTTATAAGACACAGGTCGCGAGGGGTCTCTAAGTTGAGTCGACACAACTTGGATTTCAAATGTAATACTGTGTTTGTATTAATTTCATTGTGTTCCATCTTTAAGTTGGTTTACTAAACATTGAATGTGATTAATTCTTTTAATGAAAAAAAGGAGGGAATGTTAGTAGAGTTGTTGGATTTTCATTAAAGTGAATTAATGTATTGAAGGTTTAGACAGCTTTGGGTTAACCTACTGTGTGGTGGGATGGAGAATTCTCTCCCATCCCCCAGGTAAGCGTGAAAGAGCAGAGTAAACAAAGCATGAAAGAAGGAAACATCTGTGTTGTGACAAGAAGACTCCTGACTGATGAGAGGAGATTGGTTTTCTCACCTAGGTCATATTGTCACCAAATGGTCACATGTGTTTCAAATTATCAGGGTATAAGAACAGAGTTCTTGGTCCATTTCTTGGTCACTCTTCTGCTGCTTTCCATCCAGCAGAGACCCAGACTGGTGCAGTCTGTAAAACTTGTCTGTTTGTGCTGATGTCCAGATAACCTGTAGTTTTGAACCAGCGGCTGACAACATGTATTAAAGAGATTATGTTTTGAAATGTGAGTAGTTTATTCACAGAGACTTATATTGCATAGTTCCTTTCATACATTCTAAACCGTATGTAAATACATGAATAAAGTATTCTTTAATCATGTATGATGCAATCTATATCCCCATGATTCAAACTAGACATTTTAATCTTTTTTTTAAATCAAATGTATACATCAAAAAAATAGTGGACACAAAGCCATCTTTATAAGAATATAATCCAATAGTTTCTGTCAGATCCAAAAGCAGCTGCACCTCGAACAACACGGCTCTCCCTTCACACAGTGGTAGCACAGGTTATGTATCATTATATTCACTTAAACAAAAAAGGCTGAGCCACATAATGGTACAAAAATTACCACAACATTTTGTCAACAGTTTGTAGTTTCAGAGTGGTGTATCCATTAAAGTCTGTCAGTTCATTGGGTTTGGGACCGATGCCTTTTAACCATTAACAATTCAAAACAAATACATATCTGGGGAATGCCTCATGAAAGTCCAAAAGGCATGGGTCTGTCATGTTCAGATGAAGGTTTTCCCCTTTTCACAGCATCATCAGAGTCTGACATGTACACACATAGATTAGATCAGTGGACATTTTCCCATTAGTGTTTACTTCGTTTCAGACTTACAAAAAGTTTTATAGCACAGCCATTCCAAATGTCCTTTGTTCAGTGGCTCTGTGCGTCTCTGTCTTACTTATATCAAAAGATGGGAACCTCATGCTGTGGTCGAGGCCTGGACCTGACTGACCTCATGCTGTGGTCGAGGCCAGCGAGTCCCCATCTCTGCCTCATACTGTGGTCGAGGCCTGTACCTGACTGACCTCATACTGTGGTTGAGGCCTGTGATGGCAAGCGACTAGTATTCATGCAACCCTGCCTGTTTCTATTCATATGTCCCTGCTCCAGGAAGGAGCAACCCTGCCTGTTTCTATTCATATGTCCCTGCTCCAGGAAGGAGCCGGGCCCCCCGACACCTACAGACAATGGCGCAAATCACTGTCCCCCCTTTCGCCTCTTGCATATCTATCGGTCTGTATGTGTGCATTTTCTACATCCTGCTGTCTGTCACACCCTTGTGTCTTTCGCGTCTTGCATCTGTATGACCTGCATTTCTACCATTGTCTGTCTGTTCGCACCTCCATCCCAGACGGCGCCAAACGCTCCCCATGCGCCTCCTCACCGGTGGCCCCCTCCAATCTGTTGTGGGCGGGACTGTCTTTCGTGTGTGTCTTGTATACAGGAAACTCGGGGCTCTGCGCCCAGAGCTGGTACATGCTGCCTTTGTGTGTATTTGCTGGCTCTCCGCACGTGTGTATAATAAACTTACGCTTTTGATAAGACAAAGACCTTTTGAGTTTTCTCCTTCATTGGGTAGAAACTTCCTTAACAGGCCTGTACCGGACTGACCTCAAGCTGTGGTCGAGGCCAGTACCTGACTGACCTCATGCTGTGGTCGAGGCCTGTACCTGACTGACCTCATGCTGTGGTCGAGGCCTGTACCTGACTGACCTCATGCTGTGGTCGAGGCCTGTACCTGACTGACCTCATGCTGTGGTCGAGGCCTGGACCTGACTGACCTCATCCTGTGGTCGAGGCCTGTACCTGACTGACCAGACCTAGATTCTCAGCGAGAACACTGCAGTAAAACAAACAAGTCTTATTATAATCATAGGATCAGAGTGATATAATATACACATTAACACTGAATACTCACCAAGAAGAGGAATCATATTCTTCATTAAATGCAACACTGCCAACGAGAAGCAATTCTAAAATACATGAAAAGAAACATCAGATTTGTTTTTTTCCTTTCAGACTCATGTTGTACAGTAATTACTTTCCAATGAACTATGATCTACTTTAACCTTAAAATAAGTTGTTAAGAACCATTATATAATCATGATTAGGGATGCACCGATCCGATACTGGTATCGATATCGGCGCCGATACCAGAAAAAATACTGGATCGGATATCTGCGTAGAGAGAGGCGCCGTGCTGCAGATCCATTTTCTTTTCTTTCTTTTTTTAAAATTATTTATATTTTTTAATACATACCAGGTACCGCACAATGTCTTAAAATTAGGGCTGTCAAAATTATTGCGTTAATTCATGTTAATTACCGTTTTCATTAACGCGTTAAAAAATAATTAACGCGTTAACTGCCATTGACGTGTTAACACGTCAATTGCGTTTCCCGCTATTTTCACGTTCCCAGATGTCTATTGTATCAAATATGTAAGGCTTGTGGCAATATTGTATTGAGCCAGCAGATGGCAGAATTGCTGTATGAATGGTTTGAAAACAGCTAGATGCACATGTGCCTCTTTTTTCTCAGCTTTCTGATGATTTCAATAAAACTTACCTCTACTCGACTGGGGATTACAGGGGAACGAAACGAGCTAGAAACAAAATTATTTTTGCTGATTAAAGTAGACAGTCCATTCTTTCAGAATCTGGTTTTGGATTTCAGATAGTCATAGTACACAATATTCTGTGGGTCTTGAAAATTCAGTAAAAATCATCAGAAACGGCTGGCAATATGGGAGTACCTGTTCTGAAATAGGCTGGCAGTCAATCGCATGTCCGAATGACCCGTCCATTTATAATAATATCACTCAGAATGCCACGGACACGTGCGTGTGTGTGATGGTGACAGCGGTAACGTGGTCATATAATACACGCATATATATATACACGCACAGGGGCCATTCTCTGATGTTCTCTGATGATGGATGAGAGGAGGAGACACGCTGAAAAAAAAATTAAAGCTGGGGTACCTACATTTTCCCTTTCATTAATAGCTCTTGTTGGTTGTACCCAAAAGTAGAAGGTTGTGAGCAAGTCAAACAGATTTAAGTACATTTGGTATGAATAACAATGTGTCATTACATTTGGAAATCTCATTTAACTTCAATTGGAGTGGATTTGAAATAGAATGTTAAAAATGCGATTAATCGTGAGTTAACTCACCATTACTATGTGATTAATCAACTAAAAAAAATTAATCGTTTGACAGCCCTACTTAAAATACATTGTGCATAATGTACATATACGTATAAAATGAATTAATTAAAAGTAATTTATCAGATCTGACATACACGTCACTTGCTCGTGGCGCTCTACAACAACAACAACACAGCATGGAGCGCAGGAAAGAATCAGCGTTGTTCACGCGGCGGTAAACTAGCAAAATACAACACGACTAAGCACCACAAGAAACAGCATGGGGAGTTTTTGCATCGAAAGGAGATTACGTGAAAACAACGAGACACAGATGACACTGACGCAGCGTCACAAAAAGCTTTTCAGCAACAACCCCAAAGTGTTGGAGTTCATCATGGGCTCGCAGCCCCATAGACCATTTGGAACCCAGGTACATGCCGTCGCCAAATACATATCTGAAATCCAGTTAAAGCTACGGTACTATTATTTATTTACATTTTCATGCAGCGTGTTTTGTTTGTTGTAAGTGTTTATTTATTCAAACACAGTTAATATAAGTACATTTATATTCAATAAATGTATAAGGTATAATACAGTGTTGGAATGTTTAATGTGAACATTGAGCAGCTCTTTATAGTTGCAGTATTGCACATTTATGTTGAATCCATTTTTATCTGGAAAGTTTAGCGCTTTAGTTCATCCACTGCTTTTGCAGTTACTTGAACAAAGAGTGAAATTATTAAATACATTTTAGCATGATCATTTCCGGTATCGGTCAATATCGGTATCGGCAGATACCCATAGCTCTGGTATCAGTATCGGTATCGGTAGTAAAAAAGCTGGATCGGTGCATCTCTAATCATGATCATAATGAACAGCAGTCTGTTTGTTAATACAAAACATATTTATGTAAACTTCATATATTATATTATAAATATACATGTATTTTGACTATTATTTTGTAGACGATCTGTGGAGCACTACAAGGCAACCAAAATTCCCTGCCCAATCACACACTGAATCTCACTCTCTCATAAATAATTGTATTATACAATTTGTAATTTGTTTGCAATATACAGACTTACACAAACATGTCTATTTATAATCAAAATAAATAATAAATATGCAAATTGTTTCAAGTCTTACACAAATGTACAAACTTCCATTGCAAAGGCTATATATTATGTAAAATATGTACATGTAATAATGTAATTCTAACAAATAATTTACCTTCAGTCTCTCTCCCTAAAACGTTCAAACAAGGTCAGAAATCTAGGGGTAATACTGGACTCAGACTTAAATTTTAATAGCCACATCAAATCAGTAACATCAGCAGCTTTTTACCATCTAAAAAACATTGCCAGGATCAAAAACATAGTGTCTAAAGCAGACCTGGAGATTCTTATCCATGCATTTGTCTCCAGTAGGTTAGACTACTGCAATGGCCTGCTCACAGGTCTGTCCAAACAGGCTGTAAAACAGCTGCAGTACATTCAAAATGCAGCAGCTCCAGTCCTGACTAGAACCAGGAAGTACGACCACATTAGTCCAGTTCTCAGGTCTCTGCACTGGCTTCCTGTGGCTCAGAGAATAGACTTTAAAACAGCTCTGCTGTCTTGTACTAGGGGTGTGACGATATATCGATTTTTCGATATATTGCGATACTTTCTCCTGCGATTCGATTATTGATATGCATTTGCCAAGTATCAATAGATTTCAAAAAAAAAAACATGATTTTTGTTTTTTTTATTGGTATCAATACTTAACTCATTGACTGCCAGCCTATTTCAGAACAGGTACTCCCATATTGCCAGCCATTTCTGATGATTTTTACAGATTTTTCAAAACCCACAGAATATTGTGTACTATGACTATCTGAAATCCGAAACCAGATTCTGAAAGATTGGACTGTCTACTTTCATCAGCATACTTTCATTTGTTTCTAGCTTGTTTTGTTCCCCTGTTATCCCCAGTCGAGTGAAGGGAAGTTTTACTGAAATCACCAGTCTCAGACAAAAAGCTGAGAAAAAGACACTTATGTGAAAATGACCATCCCAGGCAGAAAAAGTGACTTTGACAAAAAGATGTTTTACTTTTGTCATTTTTTGAACTTGTGAACATTGTTCCTATCAATAAAACAGCAAAAACAAAACATAAAAGTGCTTTTGATTGCAAAATACAGTATAATACAAGTTCACAAAAAAAGACCATTTAGAAAATACATACAGTAAACGCTATATACAAAGTGTGTGTGTGTGTGTTTACACAGTGTAATTTTAATAATAATAATAATAATGCATCGGTTTTATATAGCGCTTTTTTGGACACTCAAAGACGCTTCACATGTGTCATTATTCATTCACTCCATACACGGTGGTGATAAACTACTAATGTAGCCACAGCTGCCCTGGGGCACACTGACAGAAGCGAGGCAACCAGTATGTGCCATCGGCCCCTCCGACCACCACCAACCATTCACACACACACCAGACTCATTCTAGGCAATGGGGGTGAAGTGTCTTGCCTAAGGACACAACGGCAGTTTGGCACTTTACAGCCGCAGCCGCCCCACTGTGGCTGGTGTTCCCAGAGGTTAAGTGTCTTGCCAAGGACACAACGACAGTTGTCGATGGTGAAAGTCTTGAGCGGGGCTTGAACCCACAACCTTCTGGCTCAAAGGCCAACGCTCTACCAACTGAGCTACTGCCTTTTGTTTGGTGTGGTAGGCGGTAAAGCACTCTCCTGGATGTAAAGGGACACGACAGGACTTGCACCACAGCCTGGTCTCACTGCACAGGCCCTTGCGTGCGCAGACCCTACACCTCCTTGAGGGTCTAGCCTTACTGATGGAGGGAAGGTACTCCAGCTTGTGCCTCGCCATC